TAGGATTTCTCCAAGATTGCAGCACCCCTCACTCGTCGTCTGACGAGGAAAGGGTGGATTTCTGGTAGACCCCGAGCAGTAGAGGGTGTTTGAGACCCTCCGACAGCGACAATGCGAGGTTCCAGTCTTGACTCTCCTGGAGGGAGTCGAGGATTTTGTAGTGTTATGTGATGCATCCATCATGGGACTGCGGGCGGTCCTAATGCAAAGAGGACAGGTGATAGCCTACACATCATGACAACTGAATCCGCATGAGACTAGATACCCTACTCATGATCTAGAGTTGGGAGTGGTGGTATTCGCTCTCATGATTTGTAGACATTCCTCTATGGGTCTGTTGTACCATATACACGGATCATAAAAGCCTGAGACACATCATGGATCAATCAAACCTGAACATGAGGCAGTGTAGGTGGCTAGATGTAGTTAAGCACTACGACTGTGAGATCCTTTACCACCCAGGTAAAGCGAACATGGTGGCAGACACTCAGAGCCGCAAGTCAGCTGGGTCTTCCATACTTGCGACATGTATAAGGATATCGATGGATTCTCCACTTGTGAGTTTGAGTAGAGATGCTCAGGCTGAGGGCATGCGACTTGAGAACTAGAAACTAGAGAGAATCAGGGGCGAGAACGCCCGATTTGTGCAAGATAGTCGGGGATTGTTGACCCAATGTGGTCGAGTATGGTTTCTAATATCCGGTGGGATCAGGCAAACAGTTGCATCGCCAACTCAGTGAGTCCGATGAAGATTGTCGTGCAAGGATTTTTGTATGGACTCGACAAGTCAGTAGGGTGACTCGGCGAGTTAGCTAGAGTTTTCCCGACATTTATACATGCATGAACTCGGTGAGTTTTAGGGAAAATTGACGAGTCAACTGGGGATTTCACGACTTCTCGAGTTCAGGAAGGACTTGACAAGTTCGTGAACTGCACTCGACAAGTCGGGTTAACATGGACTGTTGACCTTGACCATTGACTTGAACATTAACTAAGGGTTTACTAGTTGACTTTTGGGGTATTTTGGTAAACTGGAAATTTATGGAAATGATCTTGTGGTAACTGTATGTGGTGGAGTTGTGTCCGGGGTTCGAGAGTTTGAGTTATCACTTCGATTCGACAATTGAGAGGTGAGTTAACCTCACTATACTAAGGGGTTGAAGGCACCAATGTCGGTCCATTGAATATGTTATCCTAGTAGTTGGTAGTATGTTGAGTATGAGTTAGTCTTGCATCCTAGTCGTTATGCCAGTTTGGTAGATTTATAGGACTACCTGTATTATTATGCGATTATCTATATGTGCATTAGTTATGTTATATGTCGACATATTATGTAGGTTGGATTGAGGTTATACTGCTCCGTGTGGTAGCCAAAAAAACCCTAGAGAATTCCAGATATGAGCTGAGAGCCGAGTGGGGGATGCCAGACTCATACTGAGGACTCGGGAAAAATTCCAAATACGAGTTGTGGGCCGGGTAGAGCATGCCAGACTCATATTGTGGGCTGTGGAGCATTCCAGATACGAGATGAGGGCCGAGTAGGGCATACCAGACTCGTACCATGGGCTTGGTGACAATCCAAATGTGATTTGTGGACCTCAAAGT